ATCATGGATCGTGTCATATTTCAGGCTGGCCTTTTTAATTAATTTTGTATAATTGCATAAACCAATCAGTTATTTGTAAAGCAAGACTGATTGAAGAGGAAACTACCTGAAAGATGAATTCTAAATAGGCATTATTTTTATTTTTTCTGGTTATTTATTATGCATGCCTATTTCTAAGTTTAAATGGATCCAATTTGTATTGAAGAATATGACCACACTTCATGCCATGCAATGTATGTACTCATGTTTACACAATTATTATGTGTCACTGAATATTGAACTTTTACGTTTTGATTTATTTATTATGCTGCAATTAAGAGCTTTTTATGTGATCTTCATATTCAGAAGTATTTAGTGACTAGTGTAAGCTTGGTATTTACTGTGAATTTTAGCTAAGAAGCTCGTTATGTATTTATATTCAACCAAATATGAATTTGCATTTGTATATGTTAGTAATGACAAAAGTTTCTGAATTCATTACTAGAGTGTGAGTATGTCACACAATCAATTACTATTATGTCGTTTGTTTATGAGGGCTGCCTCTTTCGGCCGTAGGCTGCGATGGCATGCCTTGAATTCCGCTCGACAATGTAGCCCAGCGGTGTAATGTTATAATTCATTTTGTATAAAACGGAGCCCTGAGCTCGCTTCAGTTGCTATTCGCCGCCATACCACACATTATGTAACTTGTACTACTTGCTATTTGCCGTCACTATGTAACTTGTATGATTTGGCTTGCCGCTTGTTTTGTGGTTTTGTTTTTATGTGTCTAAATTGTTTGAAATTGGCATAGCCCGGTCTTCAGGGCTGTAACGTATTTATTATTGTATTCTGATTTTTCAATGTGGTCTCTCTCTCGCCTACCTTTTGGGTTATTTTTTATGGTATGAATATGGCATTGGATGTTTGATTTATTTATGTTGGGTTGCTATTTTATGCTTTTATAATTGGTCTTTTTGCGGCCCTGTCAAATTTTGTAGTTGTCCAGAGCTACTTTTATAGCACTAATTGTTATGTAGTTGTCCAGAATCTCTTTTCTGGCATTAATTGTTTCAGAGCCAGAGTCAATTTTGTCGGCTTCTGATCGTCGGTAAATGTATTATTTGTACTGATCCACTAGTGTTTGATTTTGGATTGTTTACTTATTTCTCAAATGGAAGTGAGGGCTCGTGCTGGCATGGTCCATTTGACACGCTTCACACGTTTCTTGGCTCCATGACAACGCTGCGTTCGTTTTGCATCTGGCGAGTATTTTCTAGACAGGCGCTGCAATCAGGACAGGTTAAGCAACACTCGTCCAATTCCATAATATATTCATGCTTTATTATAGTTGATAGAGAGTACCACTATTTCTGTATAGCATTATATTACGTTTAAGTACTTTGTAAAAGCGACGTAAGAGTCGCTTTGTCATTTTTGTTTGTAGTAATACTACGCTCGCAACCATTCGTAAATTGAAACTATACTCGGGTCGCAAGTCTGGAGATCGTAATTCTGTTTCATAGCTTCCGCATGTGCCCACGGCAGCCATCTTTCAATATTTTTAATTTAATTTATTTTTCAGGGTAAAGGTCTATGTTCGTTATGTTTTGTTTAATTATTGCATTTTGCACAATTTTGTACATAGATCAACAGTTTGTACTCAGGTGGACTTCGTGTTCAAAACATTATTTATTCTTGTCTGTTCTTTCACTTTTGCAATTTACGCTGAATTAATAAATGTTATTTGTTATTTGGAAGTTTGAAATCTAATTTTCCCACCGTAGGAATCCCACCAATTTATCAAGCATACCGTTGAAACGATTCCTGCAAGACTGTTTCCCAGAGCGACATATTCTAAGGTGATGAAAGGCGCGATCTCTTAAAGGTTTGTTGTTAATTTCGTAAATCCCAGTAGACGCGCGCATTGAAATCCTCCTTCTTGCGACGCATTTTCCAGTGTTCCAAGTTCGGGATTTAATTTAGTATTGCCACTATTTAATAGGTAGCTCTAAGCCAGAAGCTGTCTTCTCAGTCGCCGATTTACGCAAAGATTGGCAATAATATGCGGTAACACAAGTTAAAGGCGGAGAACGAGCTTTAAAATGTTCAAGGTGGATTTTTTTTTCAATTTTTCAAATTTCAAGAGATTTAAGTCGTACCTCCGCAATCGCTATAAGTACACTTACCTGTAATGCAGCAAACATTGTTTTAAAAACAAGGAGCCAATTTAGTGAAAATTACGAAAATTTCCAAAGAGTTTCATGTAAAATACCCCCAAAAATTAAAAAATCTGTTTCAAATGGAGTAAATATCCATTTTGAAGAAAATCCTACAAATGGAGTTTTCGCTAAGGTTGTTCAAAGACGGAGAAACAGATGGTTTAGAAAAAAATGGGCATCCGATCCCCCCAAAACTACACGCTTTGGACCAGGTATATATTTTCTGTCAAAATATGAACAGTGATGTATTGCAACTTTACAATACTTCATGTTTACTAAGTACTGTAACGCCAGCAGTTGTGGCCAATGCGTTAGTAATGGCGACATCAAACGCAATTTCAAAAAAAAAAAAAAAAAAAAAAAAAACTGAAGTCCTCCTACTTCCTTCAAACTTGTGTATCGTGGAAATTATGCCTTAGATGTGTTTAATGATAATAAATCAATTATTTCACCTTATTTTACGTGTAAAAAATCCTAGCGCGCTCTGAGCCGGTACGGCACGGATGGACGAAAGGGATGCGATTTTATAAAAGGTAATTGTATTGTTTCCCTAATGGAGCGTGCACTATCCAGTCACGGTCGGAACGGGATGATTCGCAACTTCCAGTTTGCAATAAGTCTCATGGAAAATCTTCTGAACATCCCGACATGCGGTTCTGTCCGTTCCGATGACGCCAACGACATGTTGGGACGGCCTTTCCCCTGTTTTAGTTGTGAGGTTATGTGAAGCGTGTGGAGCAAAGATGATCCAATTCAATGATGACCCAGAATTATCCCGAATTATACAACATAATATTAAGATTTATTAGGTGTACTACCGAACACTCGGAAGAGTGATTTTGTTGGTTAGCTAAACTATCTGTAGTAAGGTATCATATTTGACACATTGAAAGTACTAGATGTTTGTAAGGAGTGCAATGTTAGTGAAACTGAGTGCATTTGTGCAAGGTGAATATATTATACCATACTTTATAATGATAAATTGGATTATCAGTCAACGTAAATTATTTTTGTCTTACTTGTGTACATTATTTTGTGTTGTCAGTGCGGATTATTTTCTTAATTTTCGGAATTAATTGATGCAATTATGATTCTGTCACCTAGTTCAATATGATTATCTACTCATGTAATACGGTATTTGCCAAATTATACATATATATGTATAATTTGGAAATTTTTAAATTTGACAATAACAAAAATTATGCAATTTTTCGTCACCCGAGTCCCCCAGAAAAAATTTTCTGTCGAAAAATTACCGATTTCCAGTGCACAATTATAACACTTTTTCTTCTTGCAAAGTAAAGCGGACAGTAAAAATAAACACATTAAAAAGTTGCTATCTTAGACAAATGATGTATGCTAATCGCTCATCAAGTTTTACAGAACAAATTGAACAGTAACCCAATAATTTTGATAAAACTACGAAAAGGGTCTTAATTTTGGCCACTACTGAAGCTTTGACACTAAGCGAGAAATAGAAAGCAGTAATGACTACAACCACATGGTCCACTATTAACGATATTCACCCAATAAAACTTAATAGTACAAACAACTAATTGAGAGCTTGATTTTATATCGCTCACCCGTTTGGTTCTTTCAAATAGTAGTTAAAGCACACAGAATACATAACATAATACTGACAGAAAGGCAGGCAGTCTGACAGACAAGACAAATGAAACAGTTTTATAACAATGGGGGAAACTCAATCGAGCGCCTCCAATTGATTTAGTGACTTAGGATCCTTCAATGTAATATGTGAGAAAGGATTACAATGGGTACCGATTTCTATGTCTCGGGGTTGGCGGGGTTAGTGAGACTTACTTCAAAACGTAGTATGTCGGAAACCTTTTGCAGGTTAAATAGGAATTCATAAGATACGGTGTGTATGAAATTTGGATTGGAAAGAAATGAAATCCTTGCCGGCGTCTGGTTCACCCACGCTGTCTAAGATTGGCCCGAATCCAGCTGCATATGCTTAATCAGCTGCAGCTAAGGGGCCATCCATTAATTACGTAACGCAAATTTGGAGTATTTCCAATACCTCCTCTTCCCCTTGTAATGCACCCGTAACGCACGCTTGAACCCCACTAAATAACTACGTAACGCTTACAATAACGCTCCCTTGTAAATGAAAGAAGTGAAAATAAATTGAAGCACAGTAAAAACAATTTGTATTTATTTTACTTTTGTTATATATTAAAGTAATTAATGATAATTAAAGTAGTAATTAGTTATCAATACTGGCTGCACCTAACAATAACATTGGGGGAAGTTGTGAGTGAAGAAAGAAAGCTAGGGCGAGAAATGGTTAATCACAAACTATGCACACGTTGTCAACGATTCTGTCAGAGCGAGAGTCTACAGCGGCAATTTAAATGGATTCTAGAATATACTTCATATAAGTTTTGAATATTTTCTTCATAATTTTACGGATTAAAAAAATGTTGAAAAAATGTCTCCATTTATTGTAAAAAACTAAAATAATTAGTAGTAAATTATTTATGTTTTTGAAGCATTAATTTGTTAATATTTTGGTATAGGACTAAAAAATGAATTATTTCAGCAAATGTTGAAAAATGTAAAAAAAATAAATACAAGTATCAATATTACGTAACACTTCATTAAATACATCCTGCCCCTATGTAACGCAGTGTAACGCAGCCTCAGATCCCCTCCACCCTTTTTAGCGTTCTGTAATTTATGGACAATCCCTAAGCCGTATCCCAGACAACTGAATAAATTCCCGCCTCTCCAGGGCTTCTGGAGAGGGGAAAGGGGATAAAGGCTTTTCCCACTCACCCGCGCGCACGTTCACCTCCCGGCTGAGGATGCGCCCGACGGCGTTGGCCGCCTCGCAGCGGTAGACGGTGGAGTGCACGTCGTGGCGGTAGTTCTCGGCGAGGAAGGGCGGCAGGTAGAGCGAGCCGTTGGCCAGCAGCTCGCGCACTTTGGGCACGGCGCTCACGGGCGTGCCGTCGCCGAGCAGCCACGCCAGCTTGGGCGGCGGGCTGCCGTGCGCCGCGCACTGCAGCAGCGCGCCCGTGTCATTGGAGAAGTCCACCTGGGAGCGCGGCTCGGCCACCAGCACGGGGCCCTGGCTGTCCACCACGCCCGCCAATGCCGCTGCAACACACGCAGGCATGCAAGATTTGAGCGAAAAACATCGACACGTCGATACTTTGATACATCAACAAAACGTTTTCAATGTCAATGAACATATACAAAGATATCGATGTATAAAATAACGATGTTTTAAATATGATGAAACATACCGAAGTAAAATGTCCTGCTTCTAATGTGATATGTGAAACGTCGAACATTAGTTTCATGTATATTCTGCCTTAAATTTGACAGTCAACTTAATTTTCCAATCAATGTTCTATGTAGGTTCCACAAAATAAGAGTGCAATTATGAACTTTCACATACAAAATTATTATTATTATTATTATTATTATTATTATTATTATTATTATTATTATTATTATTATTATTAGGGTTGAAGTCATAGGGTGATGATGAGGGCTCAAAGGACTAGGATGATTAATGGTGGGAGGTGTTCCTGGGATTTTGAAACCATCCCAGCATTCGCCTCATGACCAAGGGAAACCACCAAGAATCCAGGTCACGATGGCTCGCCCGGAGATTTTGACCACGACATTCCTGGTGATAAATAAGAATATCTTTGAAAAATATTTTCCAGAAAATATCCTGAATTAAGAAATACTAAGTCACTATGACCAAAAAAAAGAACATCTGCAATTTTGAACATTTCCTACATTATACAATTACACATGCCAACCAATAACGTGTGCCATACACTGCTTTATGGGATTTCACATTTAGAAAAGTAATTTATTTACCAGCGACACCTGAAAATGTACACAAAAGACTCATAAATACATCATAAAGATTGTGTTTGAGTGAAAAAATGACGTCATTGAATGTCTGAAAAATTATCAGGAAAGCGAATAATTTAATATCGTAATGAGTCACTTTGGAGTACATATCGTAAATGACCACGAATGGAAAGATTAACAAGCACTGACTCCTAGTGTCGGCCACTAAGGTGAAAGTGGCTTTGAACTAAACCTTTCATAAAATTGGGTTTATCGTTTCCATCTGCACATAAATTTAGATACATTACTTACATTTTAATGTAAGAACATAAGATATGGCTGATTAGAAATGGTATTAAATCAGACTGTACTTAGTTCTATTGTCACTGTACATAGCTATTATAAACAGTTCAGATTGTATTCTGACCATCGATCTGTATTTGTTGATACAACGTCCATTACATCATTTATTCTGTCGCACCCCTTTATATAATGTCTTTATTAACTATTCCTCTATGCAATTAATATTTATCTAATAATAGCACTGTGAATTTTAGAGCGTGTCAATTACATTCGTGAATTTCCTTTGATGCTTTTCGTAACTGAAATGAATTTTCACAGATTTTAAATAATTGAAATGAACACGTGGAACAGAATATTTTCATTATAACCCACGTTAATTACAATAGTTGGTTTTTCATTCTCTCCTTTTATCTTCTCAGAATCAAAGTTAAATTCGAAATGTTAAAAAACTGCACTCTGCTCAAAAGATAAGAGTGTCATTTCATAAATATACAATTGTATTTATTTCGTTCTTTGAAAACAAAATTTAATTTCTGATATTAAAGAAAGACAAAACATCCTTCGTTTAAAAAAAATGAAAATAATATTATTATCACAAAATAAACAATGTTTTTTGCATTTAGTACAAATATCCAAAATTATTCAAGTGAATACTTTCTTCTCTTAGAACATAATATTTTCATAATCAGTACCGTTAATTCAAAATTTTACTGCATCGTACAACTTATTGTCAACAATACATTCACGTTCTTTCTGAGGCAACTACTGCAATTTATATTGCACGCAGAAAGGAAAAACAAACTTCTCTTTGGCGACAACATGCATTTATAATGGTTAACACATCGGCTTGCATACAAAAGGTCCACGTTGGGGTTGCTTTGAGTGCTTTCACGTGGCCGTTTCGGCGAGGGC